GCTGGAACAGCAGGCCTGCTTGCAGGCACTTTAATCCACTGAGCTATTTGGCTGGCCCCTAGTACACTCACTTTTAATATTCACTTTCCTAATCTAGGCTTTTTTAATAGCATTTATCTTGCCAGGCAGTGGTACACGGCTGTAATCCATGGGCAAGCTAAGGCAAAAGGTTCACCATGAGTTTAAGATCAGCCTGGGCTCCACAGTGAATTCAACGCCTGAACCACATAGTGAAATCCTGTCTCAAAAAATAAAAGAAACATGTACAAAATTCTTCCAACCTAGAGCGATGTGTAGTGATGTATAACTGTAATCCTAGCAGATATAAAATCTACTTCTTAAGAAAATACTATACCTGGACAGACACATGAGAAAATTGCTACTATGGCTTCAAGCCTCAGTATTACCAAAATGGGGAAAAGAGAAGGGGTTAGGATTACCTCCAGGGAGAAGAAGGAAATTATCTTTCATCAAGTGTTATTTTAAATTGTACTTAAATACAAATATCACATAATTAAAACTATCAAAAAAAAATAGTTTGATGCCTCTTCCAGAAATCCTCTAATGGGGCCAGAGAGATAGCTCAGTGTTCTAAAGCATCTGCTCAGGCAAGCTTAGGCAAGTGTGCAGGGACCCCAGTTGGATCCCTGCCACCACATGCCATGCCAGCCCCACCTCCAGGGTGGGCTGAGTTGGACACACACACACACAAAAAAAAAATTCCTCTAATCAACACAGGTGTGTCACAAACTAGACTACTACTATTCTAGTATTATTTAGAACAATACTATTCTAAAATACTACTCCGTAATAAAAATTTAAGTAAAATATTATTTGCATCTACCATTATCATTAGATTACTTAAAAATATACGAATAAAGCCCAGCCTAATGGGAGGCTAAGCCAGGTTCAAGCCTAGCCTAGACAATTCAGCAAAATCTTACCACAAAATAAAAATGCAACGGTTGGGATTAGACAAGACAATGTATACCTGTAACCCCAGCACTCCAGAGGCTGAGGCAGGAGGCTCCGGGTCAGCCTAGGCTACACAGTGAGACCTTGTCTCAAAAAAACAAAGTGAGGGAACAGGGAAATGGAGTTCAGTGTGAAGGCCCAGAGTTCACTCTGCAATCCTACTAC